AATAATCTTGGGAAATAGAGGAGATGATATTTATACATATATTTATATACTGATATATGAGAGAAGCAGTTTTTATGAACATGTTGGTGAAATTTATATGTATCGAGTTAAAATCTTGATGAGACTTTGAGTAGGGAAAATGATCGGTGACGCAAGGCCCAAGTGCGGAAAACGCGGTGAAAAGCCGAAAAAAAAACACCAAAAACACCACGGCTGAATTTGAGGACATGACGTTATATCAGCACACATGTATATTATACATATATGATAATTATTATGATGTAGATGAATTATCAGACTCGGAGTATCTTAGATGCACATCCCAGCTAGTAAGTGGTTTGTAACTGTACATAACCCATTAATCTTTCACCATTAATCTAACTGGATGATATTATGGTTATTATGCACCGACCGTTCCTGGGTCTCATGGTTTCGCCAAGTAAGTAGATATCATTGTACAAAAAACTTATCCCATTGAGTAAGAATCGTAGGATATTCTAGGTTTTAATATCATTGTAATCTCATCATACAGTATATATCAATATATCACTATCATGATAAACTGGTTGGTGGTCTTAACCATCTTGAAAAACATTAGTCAATGGGAAGGATGACATGCCATATACTATGGAAAATCCGCCCGCACCGAAGGTGCTGGGGCGTGATCTTCCGGATGGCACTCGTAAAAGGTTACAGGTTTACCTGGGGGGGGGGGGGCATTTTTCGGCCAAAACCTCCTGTTTTTGATAGGTCGTGACGCTCGCCTTCAAAAAACACTGTAAAAAACAGTACGGAAGACACCTGTTCGTGAACGCGCCCGTCCAAAATCGGCAAGCGAAAAGTGGAAAAACCCCGTGTTTTTCAACTTTTTGACCTCAATTTTTTGGTTTGCAACATCTTTTTTTGCGGTTCCGCAGGTGGCCGGGCCCGGAGGCGGATTTTTGAGTTTTTGGACCCGTTTTCAGACTGATTTTCGTCGTTTTGTGATAGCAGAAACACTGGTTTTTACAGTGTTTTTCTGTTTTCTGCATGCTTGACGGCTAGCTTCAAAACTTCCAAAAACCTCGTAAATTACGCTGTTTTATGTTACGGTGTGAATGAAAACATCGTAAATACCAATGTTTTTTGACGTTGGTTAAAAAAACACTGTAAATTACGGTGTTTTTGGCCACCTGACCCTCAAAAACCATGGTATTTGCAGTGGTTTCTGCTTCTCACCGCGCAAAAACACTGTAAATAACAGCAATTTCGCCGTTTTTTTCATGTTTTTCGTTATTTTTTGAACTGCGTTGGTCCGCTATACATGGCTATCAAATTCTTCGCGTGTTTTTTTCCGACAATCAGTACTTTCGGATGTTTTTGGTCTCAATGGCCGACATCATTGGCAGTTACGAGCGGCTGCCCAACGATGCGGTGCGTGCGGTTGCCGTCGCGAAGCGACGTGAATAATCTAAATGTTTGAAACCACCAACCAGTAAAGTGTATTGGCACTATATCAGCATCTTGGAAAGAAATATAGAAATACAGTACAGGATGGTGCCCCCTGGTGATGTTTGTTGGTTTAGTTTCACCCCATGAATACTAGTTCGTTATATCTGCCATAACCCATAGGTTTTATGGGAGTTATAAACCCACCAAAATAGAAATATAGTGCCAATATAGTGGGATGATAGCTGAAATTATAGCTGATATCCTTTCCATAATCCTTTCCATATTAGTAGATCAGCCTTACTATATAGTGGGGCTAAAGAAATACATGATCACACTATATACAGTAAGTAGCCCCACTGGATCATGACATGATTCATCCCCTCGTGGGACCGGAAATCTCCATGGAAAAATCCCGGAAAATCTGGGGATTTTTGAGTTTCCAAAAGATTCAAAAAATGGATTGATTTTGTTGGGAAAATCTACAGGAAGCCATAGATGTTCCCAGTAAATATGGGTTTTTTTCGGTTTTCCTGTAATTTTTCCCTTAAATCAATCCATTGATTCATGAATTTTAGAAAAAAAACAGCTTTTTGGTATTTTTTTTCATGGGAATAGATATTGATAAATGTTATCCTGGGCATACCCAATGAATATCAATGTTATTCATTAATCTGGGTAAATTATCATAATTCACTAACCTGAACTAAAGCTATGGGGAGAATTCCCGGAATCCTAACCATGACTATATTGAGGGAGAACAGTGAGGTCGTTATGTCATTGACCCAGATTACCCTCTGGTTATGACTAACAGTGCGCGAACTGGAAGCCATGGCCCAGTCGAAATAGTTGATTTTCCCAGCTATAAAATGGTGATGTTCCATAGTTATGTAAACGTTTAGGATAAATCCTATTAAATCCCATCAAATCCCATTAAACCACCATCAAATCCCATTAAACCACCATAAAATCCCATTAAACCATCATAAAATCCCATTAAACCATCATAAAATCCAAACCACCAACCAGAAATCTGTTATCTCCCAGTGCGGAAACACCCAGCAGTGCTTCGAAGGCCTGGGCTTCGGGTTCCTCAATAAAGTTCGGCAAATCCTGACGTTGTGAAAAAAGGGGACGACCAGCGCAAGCCAATGGGTTTTTTAATGCTGATATCATGGAATTATCTAGGAATAAGAGGATCTACTGATGAAGAGTGGTTAATATTGGTTAGTATGGTCAACATGATTGATCATATGGTTAGTAATACGGTCAAACTTAATGATGGATATTTGATGATAAATATCATTGGGGATGACCTACCAACCCACCAACCAGGTTGTTAGTACGAAGATATTGTATTATATATATATAATCTATATATTAAATATATATATATTATATTTTGTTATATTATATATTATATATTAAATATTATATATTATATGATATATATTATGTATATGTGTATATTCAATATAATATTATATTATATTATATTATATTATATCATATAAGATTATATTATATTATATTTATATTATATCTTCCAGATATCCAAAATATCTTCGGCACCTTTGGCTGGAAAATAAGCCGTGACCAATCTTTTGAAATGGCCATCCCAAGCATCGAAGTAGGTTGTGAAATCCTGCACCAAAAGGATGGTTGAAAGCCTATAAATAATGGGCGAAACCACCATTTTCAACTGGTGATTTGGATTTCGCAACCATCCACAGTAGAATTCAGAACTTCAATGTCCGAAGTGAGGTCGTCAATCGCCAGCACCAGAAGGGCGGGTTCGTGAAGCGAGAGAATGGTTTTGTTATCTGGGGTCCCTGGAGATACCGATTTATGTTTTTTCCACACAAGTTGACTTATAACTTGGTGATCTTGGTTAAGGGTTTGCTGGAACTAGAATTATAATCAACTATAGTAACTATAGCTAACTGGCTTTACAAACCAACTTATAAGTGGGGGGCCTCACCTTGCAGATGTCCAGTTTCCAGCTTTTCTATCCATGGTTTTGGGGGGTGTGGAAAAACAAAAAAAACATCACGCAGCAATGTGGCCAAAAATCCGCACATGTTGGTGACTGCGGCCATTAAAAGAAACATGGGGCAGTTGGTGATGTCCCAGATGAGGGAAGTGATGAATGTCAGAAGACCTTGACCCAAACAAAATTGAGGATCCACTGCTGATTTTTCAAACTTCCACAACGCGCCCCTGAAGCCCAGCTGGTTCTTGTCCGAGTTTCCATATTCTGGTAATCCACCAAACCTCACTCCGCATCCCATGGAGAATCTTCGGTGGGTTCAAAAAACCCCTTGGAGTTGGTCGACTGGTTCTGGTTCAAAACCCTAGGACCCGGATGGTACACAAAGTCATGGCTGGTGAATGGATGGATATTCCGTTATTCCTCCAGTCATATGGTAGGTTTTGACCCACCCCCACATATCAAGAGTTTGCCGGCTTAGGGCTGGCTTAGGGGCGGCTTAGGGGTGCCAACTTACCTACCTAGGAGGGTCCCTTCCGGTAGCATTGTCGGCTTGATTCACCAGATGAGCAACGTTCTGGAGACCCCTCTGCCATGCCATGGCTGACTGGTTTGTTGATAGGGATTCCCGCGACGAATTATGATGATTCCGCAACCTCTACAATTTCTACAATTTCATCAAGCAACAAATAGCTAGAAATACCTCGAACAAAGGCCATCAACCCTTGAAAAACCCGTGAAAAGGCATACTCATCCAAGACGGATAAAATGGTCTCACAATCAAAATGGTACTCTGATGAGAAATTTTGGCCATCTGAACCATGAACAGTACCTTAATCCCATCCCATTGTACAACTATAATGGTTGCCTGATGGTTGATAGGCATCCCGTTAGTTCATGGTTAACATGTAATCACCAACAAACCAGCACAAAATTAAACACCAATCAACCATGATTTATTCGTTATGTCATCATTGGCGAAAAATCACATAGATGATGCGGAAATCCCTCGTCGCAACCAATCAAGAGTGCCCCTGAGATGCCTGACAAAGAAGTCATGTTTTTAGAAGATCATTGATATTGGTTTTTCTATGTTTTCCTCCAATGATGTCCTTTTGGTAAGAATAGAGGGGCCGGTTTGGTATACCATCTATCATCATTTCCCTGTTGTTAACGGGGTTTCTTCAACCCTCTCTATTAACCAACCAACCAATCAGAAAAGGACATCTATGTTTTCCTCCAATTATGATATGCATAGCAAAAGATTTGTGAAGGAAAAAATGACATTTTTTGGATGCAAATGGATGCAGTATATTACAGTTCCTCCATTGTGATATCCGCACTTCTTGATATGGCATTCCTCTTTTTGCTATGGCAATATGGCTCAAAATTAGGTACCCCTAAACTTGTGGTCCCCAAGGGCGTCTATCCCATTTTTCGGTTAATTCAGTAGGGTAGGACAATGTCCCCATTGGGGTTAATTCAGTAGGGTAGGACAAAGTCCATTGATAACTGGGCTTATTAACTTATCACCTACTTAAGCCTACTTACGAACTGGGATGCACATACAAGTACAAGACCACTATTTACCCGGTAGCTGTGTCACCAAGAGACCTGCCAGCACCTCAGCGATCTGGGGCTGTCAATCAAGGCCAAAGAGATATCAGAATCGGAGTGGTTTTGTTGGGAAGACTTGCGAAACCAAGGTTGATACTACACCAATTCATCTATTGTTGACACGACTGTACTTTTATGATTAAAAATCAACAATAGATGAATATTGTTAATCAACATAAATATTATCATTAAATAAATATTGAGTAATCATAAATATTCCTTTCAAGAAATTCTGGGAAACGACACTACTTGTCTTTTCAAGATGTTGTGCTTTCCTGCGATACCCATGCCATGGAGATGAATGCGTAAACCCAGAAGAATGTGCAACGTGTATTCAAATTTGTGCATGAGTATACGAACATGAACGTAACCTTTTAAACATCAATACTGATGCATAAGAACATATGTATATATATATACATATATTCCCCTCCGGTAAACTAACATAACTATGGAAAATCATCATTTTTAATGGGAAAATCCACTATAAATGGCCATTTTCCATAGCTTTCTGTTAGTTTACAAGAGGGTATGATGTCCTTCTTCCCCAAACACGTCCCGTATTTTTTCGCTTCACTAGGAAACCTCTCTCCCCCGTCCGTCCCCGTCCGGCATCCCAGGACGCCAAGGCGCGGGGTCGGGCTTCGGATGGTGCGAATTGGCCCAGGCTTCCAACTTGGACTGGGCGCGTTCCAGGCCTCGGAACGATTTTCGGAACCGGAAGCGATGGGGAACTTTGATATAATATGGTACAATGGTGATTTAAAGGTGAATAATGGGATATTAATGGATTATACCCTCTGGTAATTAACATAGCTATTGAAAATGGCCATTGAAATAGTGAGTTTTCCCATATGGTGATTTTCCATGGTTATATTAGTTTACCAGAGGGTAATATGCTACCGTACCTAGGGACTATAAAGGTACCGTATAGGACTATAAATTGGTATAACCAAAAAAAATATAACATGGCTACTAATTATAACCAATAATATGGCTACCGGTTAATAATTGATACAATATGGCTACCAATTATTGAGCTGGTTGGTGGTTTTAACCATCTTGAAAAATATGAAAGTCAGTTGGGATGATGACATTCCCAATATATGGAAAAATAAAATTCATGTTCCAAACCACCAACCAGCAATTATTAAGGTACCTAGGGACTATAAAGGTACCGTATACAGACTCTTTGGTCAATTAATAGTTGGTCAATTATTAAAGTACCTTGTTATTTATGGTTTATGTTAATATATGTCTGGCTATAAAAATTTATTTATATTATGGCTATGAGTCAAAACCCTGGGACCCAGATGGTACCTTCAAATAGTTGGTTCATGGATAGTTATATACCCCAAAAAAATATTTTGATAGGTTTTGACACATCCCCATATATATCCATTTGTACAGATTTGCCCTCTGGTAAACATACAAAAAAACTATGGAAAATCACCATGTTTAATGGGTAATTCAACTATAAATGACCATTTTCAATAGCTATTTTGACAGAACCAGAGGGTAATGTGGCGGTTTCCAATAAAATGGGGGGTAGCCCCAAATCATCCAAGTTCTTAGACATCCTTAGACCATTTTAGTATTGACACCTATGGTTTTTGAGGATCCACCATTTTAAGAAACCTTCATTTGTAGTTTTTTTCTTCATATGGGTCACAACAAGTCACTAACCTCAAATCAGGTTTTCTTTGGGGAGTCTGGATACGTCATTCCAGTGAGGTCACTATTTTTGTTATTCAACTGATATCCATGACAATCCATATTTCCAGAAGGTGGTTAGCTATATAGCTATTACCATGTCAATCCATGTCTATTCATCCACCTGTGTTTTCATCTCCATGCTCGTCAGTTGGGATGATGACATTCCCAATATATGGAAAGTCATAAAATTCCATGGTTCCAAACCACCAACCAGATTGTGGTTATAAATGTTCTACATATCGGGATTTCCTAAAATGGCCGTTACCCCAGGATGGAGGGTTTGAATTGAAAATCATATTATTAAAGTAGATTATTAGGGGTTTAATGGAAAATCCCATTAAATGGATGATTGTGAAAATCCAATGGTGTACATCTATTTCCTATGTTCTACATATTACTATTTCGGCTATCATCTCCATCCCATGACTGAAACCAGTCAAGTCATATCAACTTCGACTTTTTTCGAACTTCAAGAAGTGATCGCCCTAGTTGGATTAATGGAAATATCCCCCCTTTTTGTGTGTATATATAATATATATATATATATATTGTCACTATTATTATAGGTTACAAACCATGGGATTACATGGTAAAAAATGGGATATACCCCTTACATATGGGCTTAATTCTATGGGATTATATGGAATTATATGGGTTTATCTATAGGTTACAAAGCATGTACAAAGTGGCACATCCAGCAGGAAGTCTTAGATCGTGGCTCTGATTCGTCGGCTCACCATGGTGATGATTCCCCCACAAACCAAAGCGTTAAACCAGGATTCCAGGTTTCGGTCACGAAGCCTTTGCCCAGATTATGTACATATCACAGAACCATATGGGAAATATACATCCATGTTACTAGATTATGGTAAATATATGTAAATATCCTATAACTAGATATGTGGTAATATGTAATTACCTAGATCATGTCCCATCTATGTAAATATTTTCCATGGGACATATTGACAGCACACATGATGGGCAAATGTGGTAAATTACCCTCTGGTAAACGTTTACATAACGAACTGGAAAATCACCATGCTATTAATGGGAAACTCACTATTTCGACTGGGCCATGTTCAATAGCTATTTTGACATAACCAGAGCTGGTTGGTGGTTTTAACCATCTTGAAAAATATTAGTCAATGGGAAGGATTATCCCATATATGAAATGGAAAATAAGCCAAATGTTTGAAACCACCAACCAGCCACATTATTAACATTCATAACCCATAAATTCCCATATCATCCCATGATTTCCCATATCATAGCTGCTATTTTGACATAACCAGAGGGTATGTACAAATGGAGAACGTACCACAGTCCTCCAGTCCTCACAGTCAGGCCTGATCCTCATGAATCAAAGCTAGTAGAGCTTTGCGAACTGGAAATTGACCCATTTATATCAAAAATGGAGGGGTAGCCTCTGGTAAACATACAAAAAACTATTGACAATGGCCATTGAGTTAGTTGATTTACCTATTAAAAGTGGTGATTTTCCATCGTTTTTTGTATGTTGACCAAAGGGTATTTCCTCATTTTTGCTACATATTACCACAGGTGAAAAATGAAAAATGAGGAAATTCCCTTTGGTAAGGGGTAATATGTAGGTAATACTCATTTTTCCTACATATACCTGGAATTTTCAGCCCCATCCCAATGAAATTCCAAGTGACGGTCCAAGGGGTTGCTCGACGTGGTCCCAAGCCTTTTGCTTCAATGAGATGACCAGCCATTTTGGGTAAGAATTCATGGTGTTTTTTTGGGGAAAAATTGTGATTTTGTGGGACAAAAAGGAGATTGTGTGTTTTTTTTTGATTTTGTGGGATAAAATGCTGATGTCATAGGATTTTAAGGGATTTGAAGGCGAATAACGAAGGAAAATGGGGATACAATGGGAAAAGATTGCCTACAATTGGGATATCATGGTGATATTTCATGGTGATACCGGCTACAATGGGGATAACAAGCAAACATCACTGGTAGGTCTAAATGGAAAAATATGTGGGAAAATCATCTTTAATTTGGGAACATATATGGGAACAACAGCTTCAAATGGGGATGTAAACCTCAATGATAGGGGAAAAATAATGGTTATATATATATATATGGCAGTGTGTCAAAACCTTGTACCCCTGGTGAACATCAAAATAGCTGGTAAATGGATGTTCATCCCCCTAAAAATGGTATTAATAGGTATTGATCCATAGCCATATATATATATTATACAAATATTTCATGAAGCAACTTGTGGGGAAATTTCAACCATCCAAAATCGTGATATACTGGCGATTTGACAATTATTTACAAGGTGAGGCCCCCCAATTTACAAGCTTCTTTGCAAACCCATTAACTATAGTTATATCCCCCTAATCAACCCAGACCTTAACCAGTCGTGAACTGTGCGTCAACTCACCTACAAATGGCTCTATATATATATATATATACAATGTATGTGGGTCGATGATACCAATTGCTATATCATCTCAACATATATTGATATGTAAGTTATGTGAATGATATATTGAGATATATTTCTATACCAGTTGTTATGTTTAATGAAGAAACAGCTATATCATGTCAATTGCTTCTAGCAATAGAATGTCTCCATCACCTCTATCACACTAGCCACCTATTCATACTGTATATCCTATTCCAAGATGCACAAACTGACCCGTCTTATGGCATGTGGTGCAGCAGATGTTTTCTGTTATGTGTTTTGGCAGCAAAGTTGAGCTCAGTCACAAAAGTCTGTAGATGCCCGTGATTTATGACAGCATATGACAGCCTTTGGAGGTGAACTTTGTTATTTTATTTGTTTTGCTCCAAAATAAGCCTATGCTTGTCACAAAACACTGTTTTTATAGCAGTTATTGTTTACCCTGTTCAGTCCAAAAATCCTTCCCCATGAGGACCGGTTCTGCTTATAAATGGGAGTGGACTTCCTAACTAGGCTTGTTATCCACTTACGATTCTTGGGATGATCCTCCAAGTAGCGTAAAATCATGTCTACAACAGGATGAACCACCCAATAAAACATGGCCGGATTTACCAATGTTTTTAAACCTAGATTCACAGTGAATTTGTGCTTACACTCCAGTTTATTTGGCAAAATCATGGTAACATCCCCATGTTTGGGAATTGTCACCCATCTATCTGGTTGTATACCCCATTCGTATCATTCATGGTTGGTTACATATACTGTATATATATATATTATGTATATATTAGATCCCATAAGTGGTTTCAGTAGCCTCATTTAAGATAGATAAGAGAATCACATCTATATAAATGGGATTATTCAATAAAAATTCCATCCATGACTATGTCCTGCCAATCCGAACGATCCTTCTTTAGCCAGGCACTTTTCCAAGAACTGCGCCACAGAGTCTTTCTGCTCGCTGATCTGCGGTCATCCCAAAGGTTTTTACGAAAAATGGCGTGATTTTTGCATAGGAACCGCCAAATTTTACGATAGAAAAGTGAAATCCAATCTAAAAATAGCGCTAAATTGGGTAAATTAAAAACCTGGTCTTTCTTCCTTGTAACGGTTACGTTCTTTGGGAAATTCTGCAGAAACCGGATCCAGATCTTGAGAAAATCACCATGTTATTTTTATTGGTCAATATTGGTCAATCAAAGATTTCGACTGGGCCATGGCTTCCATATGTAAGAAATTACCACGGGGTACATGTTTAACAGTTTCTCAAAGATCAAGTAGGTCAAGTTCTCCTGGGGCTTCAGATAGGCAATTTGCTCATCTCCACTGAAGCATAAACCAATTGTTGCTGTTTTTTCGTCAGGGTCTTGGCTGGTCAAATCATAATTTTCGTTGGTTAAATCCTCGCTGGTTCGCTGGGCGAATGATCCCAAATCTTGTTGCTTAAATCATTTAAATCCCTCATAGATCTTGGGAAAAACATGAACATCACAAAAAAGCGGCTGAATTTCCTGAAACTCCCCCGAAAAAATGATGCTGAACAAACCTTCATTAGAATCTCCCTTTTAAGTTTGTTTGATGGCTCAATTTATCACCGGCCTCCGGTTCCGGCGGCGGCATCCAGCGCATGTCTTTGGAGCCGCCGCTGGGGCTTAACAACTTGCCATAGCCCGCACCCACAGCCTGAAATGTTCCAAAACGCCAGGTCGAAAGTGTTCTGAAATATTGATGGTTTTTCTAAAAAGAAGGTCAATCTAAAGATATTTATTTTTGCCATTCATCTCAAGATATTCATATAATATCATATAATGTCACTACATTTCCAGGATTGTCTATAAATCATTATATAGCAGATTTAGAGATGAAAAAAAGAGCCTATTTGAAAATGATCAATCTCTGGTAGTCCACGATTTTCATGATCATCTTTTGCCATGGTGATTGTTCATTTATGGTATTCGAAAAAAACTAAAGGAATTTCAACTACCTATCCAGTTGGTTGGTTTTTTAAGCAAGAGAAATGGGGATTTAAGATATTTAACCTACCAAAATGATCCAACATGTGCATGAGTGCGGATTTACTTAGCTAAGTTGGCAAACACAACTGAACATAGTTAGGCTAGAACAATGGAATATGTTTCTTATGAGAATAGTAATAGAGTAATAATAGTAGTGATACGATCAACTCCCACCATTTGCCCCGCGACTCAAAGAGTTCGACAGGATCATCATCGTCGTCGTCGTCGTTGTCATCATCATCATTATCATAACCATATACCCTCTGGTAAACTAACATAACTATGGAAAATCACCATTTTTAATGGGACAACTCACTATAAATGGCCATTTTCAATAGCTATGTTAAATTACCAGAGGGTATGATATATCAACATCATGGGTACGCTGCATCGTGATCTTGGGCACAGCATCAACATCTTGTGCAAGGTCGAGGGAACGTGGTCGAAGGCACGTTAGTATCCCTACCCCACCCCACCCCACCCCATGCGAACGTAGCATCAACATCTTGTGCAAGGTCGAGGGAAAGTGGTCGATGGAACGTTAACATTCCCACCCCACCCCACCATGTAAACTGTGGGGCAAATGGTGGGCGTTGCGTCTAATGCTACCAATTACATCCAATTACCAATTTGGAAATTGTGTGGTGGGGCTGTTTACGATCCAGCTGGTGAACATAAGTCCAATATCTGTGGCAGATATATCGATCTAGTCAGCTCAGTTGATTATATCCACATATTGGGCTGGGTCATTAAATGTCCCCATTGAACATCACCCAACCAAAATCGGTATATGGTCTACTAGATGGCTACTTTTTCAGGTGATGTCCTTTATATTCCCAAAATGGGACAGGCAAACCAACCCCTGTATGACGATTTGGGGGCGGTTTTTTGTTTTTTGCTGTGCTAATTTTTCGATGGAAAATCTTTTTTTTTAATGCAGGATGGCCCCCCCCAGTGATGTGAATGTTGGTTTATAAACCCCATGAATACTATAGTTATAAATACCATAAACCATAGTGAAATTGGAGTTATGTTCACCAACTTAGCTATGGAAAATCCCCAGTTTTAATGGGTAAGTCCACTATAAATGGCCATTTTCAATAGCTATGTTAGTTTACCAGAGGGTAAACACCCAAAACAAGATGGAAGCCTCAAAACCTGTCGGTTTTGATGATGTTCCTACTTGAAGCACAGAAGAAACACAACGGCTTTTATAGTGGATTTACCCCATTAAAAATGGTGATTTTCCATAGCTATGTTAGTTTACCAGAGGGTATACATGACTTTCGTCTCCCATGAATCCCAACATTGCCGTTAAGCTAAATCATCCCATCATTGTTCGTTGCTTAAATCACCAGTTTTTTTCCCCGAAACGCGAGTTGCCCCGCTGCTCTACCGTTGGTTGTAAGCCCCAAAAAGATAGAAAACGACATTCCCAATAGAAATAGGCTAATTGTAGATTTACCTATTAAGTGATGTACGAAAAAAATGATTTACAAAAAATGTCCCACTCAATAACAGTGATGAATCACTCTTCAGCATCTTTTTAGGGCTTCCTCTTGTTCTGTTTACCAACAAAACCTATCGAAGCTTCGCGCACGGATAAAATCTCCGCCTGCATCGCTGCCAGTTGTTCGCGAAGTTCGAAGTTTTCAGACTGTCGGACAGTGGATGCTGAAGTTCAAAGATTGCATTTTTCTGGGTAATATAGTGGTATATAGTGGTATCAATACAGTGATATATAGTGGTATATAGTAATATAGTGATATAGTGATTCATAATACATGTGATTTATAGTGATATAATATAATATACCCTCCAGTAATTTAACATAGACCCTGGTAGATAGGGGTTGGAAGATTTGTGAAACCTCTAAAAATTGGTGATTTTCAGGGTCTATGTTAATTTACCAGAGGTTAATAGTCATTACCTGACATTAATTGTGATTAGTAGTGACTAATAATGATAAATATTGCACTCAGATTAATATAGCAAGCTCGAAAAAATAGGAAGGAAAGTAAAATCTTATGGCTGGGGATTTAGAACAACCCCCAATGAAATGCCTATTTTCTAGCAACCAAAAGAGTGGTATTTCTCATGGATGACAATGGAAAAAATAATACGTGTTAACTCTCTTTTTTGTTGGGGGGGTATGACCAAAACACACACAAGAGTCCTGGGGGTTCACATCAAACCCCCAAGCCGCTTGGAAAGTCGCTTTCTGCGTTGCGCTGAAAAATTCGGTATCTCTTTGGGTTCCCCATGGCCGAGCCTAGGCTCGACCTGTCGGATTTCATTGATCTCCATCGATTACCCTCTGGTAAACTAACAGTGTGCTATTGAAAATGGCCATTTATAGTGAGTTTTCCCGTTAAAAATGGTGATTTTCCATAGTTATGTTAGTTTACCATCGACGTGACTAAACACCCAAAACAAGATGGAAGCCTCAAAACCTGTCTTTTGATGATGTTCCTACTTGAAGCACAGAAGAAACACAACGGCTTTGTCTGAGGATATAGGATACCTCAAAGTCCCATGGTTTTGCTCATCAGATGTTCATTGAATGGGTGTCAAGTCTAAATTCTGGACAAACCCACATCACCTTGTTTGTGATATATATATATATATACCATTATGTATATATCCCCATAGAATGATTGCGTACGGTTAAATCATGTTAAATCTCTGTACAAGCACCAAATCCACTAGCTGAAAACAAGATGTTCCCATTCGAATGACCAAAAGTTGTGGTTAAATCCATGTCAATCCCCTTTGGACAACCCACATCACAGCATGGTTTATCGATATATCATAGTGTAGATGCCATGTTACCCCATATTATGATATACAGTAAGTTTACCCCGCGTTAACCCATCTTATCCGGATTTTATATGGTTAGTTACCACAAACTTTGGGGTTTAACTATCATGTGGTTGCTAGCTCCTTGACTTTCCATTTCATAGGGAAAAAAGATACCGATAATTCCTCCAAACCGCTCCCTCCTAGCCACTGGATCGCATTTTAATCAGCATGTTAATCCCATTGAATATGTTTCTTCCCATGACCCTCTGGTAAACGTTTCCGAAAAACTATGGAAAATCACCATTTTCAGTGGGTAAATCCACTATTTCTATGGCCATTTTCAATAGCTATTCTGACATAACCAGAGGGTAGATTCCCATTTCTGTTCCCATGAGATTCCCATAAAAAATGCCCCCGTTGAAATCCCCCTGACACTCCCAGCCCCCTTTTTTTAGCCACACGAACCACTGATAGCTGTCATAAACCAGCCATATATCATGATAAATCTCCATCTTTGTTGCTTCAAATCATGATATTTCATGGTTCAATCACCATTTTCCTAGGGTTTTTCCATGTTGTTCCTAGGGTTTTTCCATGTAGTAGATCCGACACCATCCACACCTGCACGTCCCTCAGCGATTTCTCGCTGTCCAAGAGCTGTTCGCGACTTCGTTCCAGCTGGGCTAAGAGGACCGGATTGCTACTGTCCTGAAGCTAAGCAGTGGATTTACCCTCTGGTAATTTAACGTAGCTATTGAAAATGGCAATTTATAGTGGATTTTCCCATTAAAAATTGTGATTTTCCATAGCTATGTTAAATTACCAGAGGGTAACCGTTGGATGAAATCTGGGAACCCTCAAGTCCTGATGAAATCTGGGATGAACCGAAAACAAAGCTAACTAAGCAATAGAAATGGGGAATCAATGGGAGAAATGTTGAAAACGAAGCACACTTCGATTGATTGATCGGCTTTTCCTGCACATTCTCCCTTCAAATTGGGAAGGCTACAAGATTTTCAGACTCAAATTCAGGAATCATGAGAACTTGAAAACGGTGGAATTGGGGAATGATTTATCTGGATCTACCCAGTAAAAATGATGGTAGAATATATGCAATATCTGGGATCTAAGCCAGAAATAGAAGTTTACATCTAAGCAATCAAAAACCAACACAGACCGAGAAAGGGAAAATTGACACCCTGAATCTGACTGAGATAGGAATATGAAGGTTTCCTAAAATGGGGGTACCCCCAAATCATCCGAAATTGAACCCCAATAGTATTGAAACCCATTGTTTTGGGGATCCCCTCAATTTAAGAAACACCATTTCTCTTTGTCTAATGGAGAAATTCCAGAGGATGACCATCATACCTCCCATTCAGTAGCTCAGTAGATGGGAATCTGATGGTGTCTTCCATTCTCGGACAAAATCAAATGAAGAATTACGCCCACACAAACTGGACGGGTCATACTTGCGTTTCACAGTCCCAAAATGGGAATATATACAAATCACATCCGGAGAAAAACTGAGATGCATACAACCTCACGGTTTGAACTTACATCCTTTTACAGCAAGATTGTTGGCTGACAGGTTATTTATTGAACCCTAGTCCTGACCATTCTGGTTTCATGCCCCATTTTTCGGTGGCGTGACTTGACTTCAAATATGGTTAGTAGATTGATAGTAGCAAAGTGCTATTACTAACTCTTTGGCCAACAAATGTCCAAACAAAACAGGGATGCTTCAGTGACTGAAGCGCTGCTTTTAGGATTTTTCTGTGTCTGGCCCAGTTGGCGGTTGATCCGCAAGTTAGTTCAAGTTTTGATGAATGCGACTGGGGGCGCGTCCCAGTTAATTAAGTAAGCGCTTAAAAACCCAAGCCCATACCTAAGATAAGTCACGTATCTATCCGATACATGTATGTATGTATGTATGTATGTATGTATGTATGTATGTATGTATGTATGTATGTATGTATGTATGTATGTATATATATATATATACATAACATGGGTTATAAAATGTTGTAAATATCACAGATATCTGATGCCTGGGTCATGCACATCAGAAGAAGCCCCACCCAGCTCCTTGTTGCCAGACTTGTCATAACTCTTTTTGCTGGTGCTGCGATCATGTGGCATCTTCATCGCCTGTGACACGAAAGAACATTGGAGATTGAAGCAACGACAAAAAAGGACTTTACCCTGGGCAAAAAATGGATTTGAACCAACGTTGACATGGGATTTTAGCCCATCAAAATATGTTTTTTCAACCAACAGAAAGGAGAAACCAAATGGAACCAATATGAAATGATCGTTTGATGATTATCTCGGTGCAAAGCTGCCTCTGGCGAGCAAACAGGGTATCAACAGCACCGCACAGTCAAGTGCTGGAGGGGCAGCCTTCTTCTAAGGGTAGAGATATTAAAGTTGTGCCTGCAACATTGTATGGGTTGATTAAAGAAGCGGTGTGATTTCTTTCTTTGGTGTGCGAAACAGTATTTTCCCACCCCACACATTGGTTTTGAAACAAGAGCTTCTTCTAACTGGTTTCATGGGAACCATTGACTATAATTGCATATGGTCCAATGTAGGAATCCAAGCATAGTTTGGATGTACGGGGCCCAATTGCAAACTGGTGAAAAAATAGTAAAGTAAAGTAAACCAGTAATCTAAGGGGGCACATCTCATATATCGCTGGATGTTGGCAGGCTTATCAACCACGCAGAAATGGAGAACTGATTTACAAAAATATGGTGATCTAGCCAACAAAAATGTCAGGATGACCAAGAAAAGTAGGAACAGGTAAGAGCCGTGCTGGTTTTTCCATACCATCGGCTGGATGGTTTCTACCAATGCCACACGAAGGGAAATGTAGTTTGAGATGTCTCAGTCACCAAGCATCATACGCTTCGAATTCTCACTCATGTTAGTAAAGCAATGTCATAAACCAGCCATATGTTGATGGTTTACACATGTTTACACCACCCATTTATGGTAAAACTGGGGATGGTGGATCCTATTGCTTTACTAATCATTTTGGTATCCCCATAATTAGCCTTCACCATCCCCATGCCTGGTCAGCAAATCCACCCCGGCCCCCATCCCAGAGAAAACCTCTGGTAATTCAACAATTTGCGAACTGAAAGCCATGGCCAAATAGATGATTTACTGAAGTTTTAAAGTGATGTGCAAGCTAGTTCTGTTGGCATACCGGAGTGTAGTACCTCGCAACTGGTAAGTTTATGAAATACCAACAGAAGCGAGTCACAACTGGCACAACGCCATTGACCAGGCACAATATCTTTGAATAATCCTTGTCCAACAATTTCTCTCCATCGCTGCTTAGATTGGCCATGGGATTTGCTAAGTTCATTGCTGAGTTATAAGTTATAAACCAGGAAATATACTCAACTATTTTTGGGGAACCATTTACAATCAGCACTTACGTACCAATAATGATATCCCATTACCCTCTGGTAATTTAACATAACTATGGAAAACCACCATTGAAATAGTGAATTTTCCCATGAAAAATTGTGATTTTCCATAGCAAACTGTTAGTTTACCAGAGGGTATATCCCAGCACGATGTCAGAATAGATCCCCATTCTGATTGGTGAATCACCATTCTCCCTTTTAAAACATTGCCATGTTCATATGAAAGCATGATCACACCCATGTTGTCCAGATGGTTTTTTGTTGGTTATATATCCCATGTATATATATATACTATGTGTATATTTATGTGTATATATATATCCCATATCTCACTTTTCTTCCCAGAACTTTCTTCAAGAAAGTTCTCCGCAATCCGAAAAATCCGAAAAATCCATCCAACTGGTCTTCGCAAGGAAAGGACCTCCAATTGGACACTCATCTCCTTGACCTCCAACTCCGCTTTGCGCCAACTCTGTTCCTTTCGCACCAAAAACCTGGAGATTGGACGGTGGGTGGAATGGATGTTTTGGATCCCTGATGGCTGGCATGAAATTCCCACATCAATGGATGGGAAAACGATGGGAAAACATGGGGAAAACGATGGGAAAATGATGGGAAATCCCCGAACTCAATGGAGGTTTGATAGTTGGGAAAACCATCGAAGTGGGAAATCGTCCAGCAAGCCATGTTTGATAGTGTTTGATTACCAAATAGAGTCATAGATATCTTGAAATGGTGGTCATGGGATATTCAAGGGGGGTTATTCGGAATATTCATGGGATATAACATTGGATATACCATCTGGCTATTTGTTGCATAGCCATGGAAAATCACCATTTTAATAGGTACATCATCTATAAATGGGTCATTTTCCATGGCTATGTTAAATAACCAGATGGTAACATTGGATAGTACCCTTCGGTGTCATCAAACGTGGCGGGCCGCCGGGAAATCCCCAAACTACATGGAAGTTTCTGGCTGGGAAAATAATTCCAACTCAATGGTGAAATTTCCATCAAGCCATGTTTGATCACCAGAGGGTAATTAAGATGGCCAACTTGCAATCATTGGCTTACTAAAAGAGTAAACCATAGCAGTAATATAGATAGTAATAGAATCTTAAATTGTAACTATATAGGTAATATATTCTATTAGCATATATGAAAGCCCTTCAAAAACTGGTCATATAATTGAGACATGTTGAGAACCGGATTCCCATTCATGGATTGTGATAATCCTCAATAGATTGGCTAGTATAATCATCAATCAACCGGGCTTTTCAACACCGCTCATATGAAAACAAATCCATAGATATGTGATTGTATATATATATATACATATATATTATAACTATATATAGGTTTGAAAACCTTGTTCTGACTATAGATGTATTTATAAATATGTACTGTGTGTATATACATGATGAATCCCTGATACTCGCTAAAGAAAAAAATAGTTGGTTTGGACTGACTTTACCATTGATAGCAAAAGATTAAAGTACTAACTAGTTCGTATCAAAGGTTGACCCAGTATATAGCATAAACCCTAGTTGTACCTACAAAATACCCTCTGGTAAACATACAAAAAGCTATTGAAAATGGCCCAGTCGAAATAGTTGATTTACCCATTAATAGCATGGTGATTTTCAATACAGGATGGTGCCCCCCAGTGATGTTTGTTGGTTTATAAACCCCATTAACTATAGTTATAAGTACCATAAATCATAGTTGTGGGAGTTATGTTCACCAACTTAGCTAACTATGGGGCACCACCTTGTAGCTATGTTAGTTTACCAGGAGCTAAGACACAGGCGACCCGCCTCATGGCCGTGTCGTGATAGCCGTGAATCAAGCGATGCATTTCCATCCGCTGGTTGCCCAGCATGGTCTCCTGGCGGTCGGCTCCATTTTTGTGGCTTGCAAGATGTTATAGCTATGTAAATTTAGGATTATGGTTGGATATAACAACCAGATGTTGATAGCTATATTATGTTTATATCAACATTAATAATTTATAGCTATTTCCAACCAGATTTAATATCACGAAATTTAGTATCTGGATTTGTTTAGGCTGGATTATGGGATTATTTCCAAGATTTCATATCTGGTTGGTGGTTGAGCCTACCCCTCTTAAAAATGATGGACTTTGTCAGTTGGGATGATGACATTCCCAACTATATAAACGGAAAAATAAAATTCATGTTCCAAACCACCAATCAGATTGTGGTTATAAATGTTCTACATATCGGGATTTCCTAAAATGGCCGTTACCCCAGGATGGAGGGTTTGAATTGAAAATAATTTTATTAAAGTAGATTATTAGGGGTTTAATGGAAAATCCTATTAAATAGATGATTGTGAAAATCCAATGGTTGTAAATGTTATATATATATACGCATAGAAACGTAACGGATGAGTGATAAACCACAGGAAACTGCTGACTCCACCAAAATGTTTTCATGGGGACTTAACTGGATCTAAAGCTGATTCCCCATACATTCCATATATAATCCCAAAACCCCCGTTAATACTAAACTCCTTCCCAGAAACCATGGTTTTTGGTTCCATTGGTTGGGGATGAAACCACAGAATTGGAACCGTAAAATGTGGTGTTTTTCATATTAGGGGGATGGGATTCTGAATGTTATACCCTCCAGTTTTCATTAATAATTCGACCCTGCCAGTTGTCAGGGTTGGAAGATTATTTTCCTATTTTTTTTTCATTTTCAGGGTCTACGCTAATTTACAAGAGGGTACATATAATTTATGTATGTTTATATATATATATATACATGTGGAACCACCAGAAGTATGCATTATTACCTCTCCATATATGTGTACTAGTATGTATCTATGTGTATATAGATATACATATATATATAGTGGATCCTTGGATCCCAATATGTGAATCCCAAGATGGATATATTTATATACCTATATATACAGATGGATATATTTGTATACCTATATATACATATTAAGTCTATCCCCATTCATGGCAAGATCAAGATATGAAGCTGTCCGAATCACCATGGAAATCTGTCGCTGTCCCCCCTTTTCGGCTCCATGGATTGGAAACTGGCGTAAGGATCCTGGGGAACCCCGGTGTGACATGGAAGGTCCGAAAAAGTTGATAGGTCAGCCATGAAAAATGGTGGTTGAATGGAAGTTTAACCAACAAAAATTTGGATTTCATGGAATTTCACCAACAATTGGGATTTCATGGAATTTAAGCAGCAAACATTGGAGATCGAATGGGATTTCACCAAAAAAAAATGGGATTGAATGGGATCTAACCAACAAAATTTGGATACAATTAGGTTTGGGCATCAGAATGTGGGTTTAATGTGATTCTAAGGGGATTGCAGTTGGGATAACCCCTATAGCTATGGCTGTATGGCCAACAGCAGTGACTGTTGGGTTTCAATTTCGTTTTTTTTTGGTTTCCTAAGCCCAAAAACCGGAAGAGAACCAGAACCCTGGAACCTACTGTTGGTTTGCAAAGCTAGGGTTGGTGAACGGTCGTGTCTTTATGGTGATCTGTTTGCTATATCTTAATGGCGTTTGTTCTTGGCGAACCTGCAAAAATATCAAGCACATTCAACCCAGCGGACCGGGAACCGCGCTCGTAAAAACAACGTTTTTGTAACAAATCGTATTTTCGCCATAGCGAAACAGACATTTCTGCAAGCCGAATTGTGCCAAATTCTCGCGCGAGAATTTGGCAAAATTCGTGTTTCGTGTGGAATTTGGGTTCATCTCATTGGAGCATGTTGACAGGTTTTTTCTTTCTTTCTTTTCAGAGCAGGCGCTTCAGCGGTGAAATATGGTGAAATTGTTTTTTGCTGGAGATGGGCATGCAGATTCACATATCTCCATTGCCAGCACTTCAGATAGAGGAGAAGATCTTCAAGCACTGCGGACCATTTCGACAATGTATACAAAGATGCAACACTACCAGACATCTGTGCAGCGTAGCAACATGTAGCGGAGCAAGTACAAGGAACGTTAACATGCCCCCACCCCATCCCTGACCTGCGAACACACGGTAGCAAAACCACGGGGATGTAACCAACCCCCCAAAAGTGACCACCACCAACCAACAACCAATGGGCGACCATTGGGCGACCATTCACCAAGCCCATTTTACAAGTTGACCAGAAAGAAAGATGGCCTTTAGAAGCTGTATTTCTTGGATACCTTGCAAAGCATGCAGGATGGGGCCCCCGCTGGTTGTTGCGTAGCTAAGTTGCCTTATTTTTGTGGCTGAATTAACTATGGTTTATGGTACAGTAGATATAACGAACTAGTTAATGGATGTTAATGGGGTTTACAAACCAACTTATCCCTGGGGGGGCCATCCTGTGTTTTGGTACATATTTATCAGATTCCCCGTTAATAAAGTGATAAAGACAAGAGATCCAAGCATAAATAAAGTTAGAAATAAATATCCTCCCTTCACCCGGATCACCATTCGGTTTATTATCGGACTGCATAGATCGATGCACATATAATATAACATAAGTACATACATAAACCCTTGGTAAATAACATACTACAATTATACCACGCTATTTCTCTAGCGGTTACAACGTGATAGCTCGTTTACATTGTACTTCCATGTCGGAAACCCGATGGGTGAAAATTGTTGAAAAAGATATGTCCCTTCTCAAAATTGCCTTACAGCAATGTAGCGAATCCACCATTGTGTGGATACCAACCCCAGCTTTTTTGCTCCTTCAATCTCCATAAAATGTTGATGAATTTGCATGTCTGGTGACTTAAACTGTAGATCCCCATCATGTCAGACTTTTGTTGATCAATGGTGAAAATCCAAACCATGGCTAATCAATATCCTGGTTAGGATTGTATATCAAGTAGCAAACGATTGGTTAGTACTAAAATGTATCACCAGTTGCTTCAGTTGGTTTCCCCCTATTTTGAGATCGTAAATTCTCTTTATATCTCGATATTTGATGCTTAAGTCCCCAGATGTTGACGGAAATTGCTTCATATCCCATAAAAATCAGCTTGAGATCCATTGATATCCCCAAAAATCCCAGATTTTCCCAATGGATGGTGCCCCCCTAGTTAAACGTGTGCTAGTTTAGTTTCACCCCACGAAATAACTATACTTATCTATAGTTATATCTACCAAAAGCATCCATAAACCATAGTTAATTCAGCCACTTCTTAGGCAACTTGGTGAAAATCGCCCACGAATTTCATGACCCCAACGGCTGCTCGGCCCAGCGCCCAGGCACGGCTTGTTCGGCTTTTGGGCGGAGCTCCGCCAACATCTTGGCATACTGCTCCTGACGCGCGCTAAGTTCGACAAAGGAATCAGGAGATACTAAGGATATGACGTTTTTTTGGTGGGGGAATATCACTCACAAAATATGTATGGAAAATATAACCATATTATTACTACAAATTAAAGAAGTATCACTCATATGTTTTTTTTTCATAACTCTAAGTGACGGAGGAATATCACAAACTAACCTAACCTATAGTGTTCATGGGGAACTAAGCCACTTCTAAGTGGTGGTGGACCACCTTGTAAGAACCTGGCGCTTCGTCCCAGGAGAAAAGTCAGTGATAGCTAGTGATAAGCGTAGTTAGTTCACCGGTTTATAGATGGGATAACCCATGAAACAATATATAATACATATATAATATAATATATATATATTATATATATCTGTAACTGGCTAAATCATAGTATTTAACCAAACTGAAACTTGAAGCCATTTTGGGATACCCTGAAACAAAGCGTTATCCCGTGGTGAGGTCACCTGAGATGATCAAGATTCGCTGTAAGGAGGTGCCCCGTGCCTCCCCAGACGTGAGGATAGTACCAGCTGGGTACTTTGGGGATTGTATTACAAGGTGGTACCCCCCAGTGATGTTTGTTGGTTTATAATCCCCATTAACTATAGATATAACCCCCATAAACCCTAGTTATTGGACTTATAAACCAACTTTGCTAACTATGGGGCACCACCTTGTAGGTTATATGGGATTGTTATTGTCATGAGTTCATCATTTTTTTTGACCCAGCAATTAGTACATCAATCCAAGACAAACAAATTTGATTGTAATCCGGTATATTATTCATGCTCATATACTGGGTATTAATTAGAGATTATACCCAGTATTTGTTCACCATTGTCTGGCTAAATACATTGGTCTTTTATACTCACCATAATTGAATATAATTGATACCTTTTAGTGCACATTGGTCACGACATGGATTTGTCTGAAGATTGACCCGAAAAAAATCGTTTGGAACCGCATTGTCCCCATCAAAATCAAGGTATTTGGTGAGGTCCCCATATATAAGCTATTATCTAAGCCATTTGTCCAACTGTGCTAACCTCTGGTAATTTAACATAGCTATAGAAAATGACTGGCTATTTATGTTGCCCATACTTATGTTAAATTACTAGAGGGTATATTCCTTGAAATCCCATTGAGTCACCATAAATCCAAACGTACATCCCATTAACTCACAATGAAATCCCATTAACTCACCATTAAATCCCATTTATTGAAATCCCATTCAGTTGGTTTATAAACTCCATTCATTGTAGATAATTTGGGTAGATACTTGGGGGTGCAACCCATTTAGTAAGTGGGTTATACCCCCAGTTATATACAGAATATCCCCAATGGATTATATATATATACATGGATTATTAACCACGGATCCTCAGTGGGATGCAACTAATAGATAATAGACAATAGTAGATAACAAGTATACATACTTATATATGTATAATTATATATTCATATATGTAAATGTACTAACATATGTATATATATATACGTTAACTCCTTCAATTAAGTACAGAATTTTTTTGTCGGTGCATCTATGCAGGAAGGGCCCCCTTTAGTTACAGTACAAGTTTCTTTATAACCCCCTCTAACTAGTTCCTTATATCCCCTATATATAAACCCAAACGTTAATCAAGTAATGTGCAACAAGGTAGCTAACGAACTGGTGCCCCTTCCTGTAGTGCTTACAAACGATATGATAATCAATATATTCATATCTCATTAAGTATTCCATCATTCTCAGGGATACGCGAAGGGAATATACATCAACAATTTGGGGATACCCTCTGGTAAACAGTTTGCTATTGAAGCCATGGCCCAGTCGAAATAGTTGATACACGCTATAAAATGGTGGATCGTTCCAGTTTGTTTTTTGCATGTTTACCTTACCGGGTACATCAACAATTTGGGGGTGTTTAGAGCTGGGATTTACCCTCTGGTAAACTCACAGTTTGCTATTGAAAACGGCCATTGAAATAGTGGATTTACCCATCAAAAATTGTGATTTTCCATAGTTATGGGACAGTTTACCAGAGGGTATGAATGTTGGAGGTTCATCGTCCATAGTTCTATGCTATCTAGAAAGCTTCGGAACGCTGCCCCAGTGAACCGCTAAGTTGGTGCCAATAACTCCAAGTTCACTATGGTTTATAGACCAACAAACATAACTGGGGGGGCATCACCTTGTAGCTATTGATCCAAAGCCATTTGCCGAGATAGCCCCCACCTCTTTGTCCACAAGGGCGCTATCTCCCTGACGAACCTCGAGACGGGGTTCATCCTTCACGGACTTGTTACAGGGAAAAACACAATGTCCTTGGTATACAGGATGGTGCCCCCCAGTGATGTTTGTTGGTTTATAAACCCCATTAACTATAGATATATCACCTATAAACCATAGTTATGGGAGTTATGTTCACCAACTTAGCTAACTATGGGCACCACCTTGTACCATCTATCATCATTTACCTGTTGTTAAAGGGGTAAACAAACCCCTCTATCAATCAACCAACCAATGAGAAAAGGACATCTATGGAAAAAGATGTGAAAATCTTGGGGAAACGACTTATCATAGGGAAACCTCTGTGAAGAATAGGGGAAACATCTACTTTTCATAGGGAAACGTCTGTGAAAAATAGCGGAAACATATACTTTTGATGGGAAAACCTCTGTGAAAAATCGGGGGAAACGAATCTACTTTTCATAGGGAACAAGATGGAAAGATCTGAGATTTAATGGGATTGAACTATCTGAACGGGGGAATGTCATCTTGGAAATGGGATGAATAGATGAATCCTATGCCTGGTTGGGATGGGATTAGAATGTGGTCAATCAAAAAATCGAAGACTTTAGAGGAATTGTCATCCCAAAATTGATTTTGTAGGACAAAAAAATGCTGTCTCATGGGATGTCATCATTCCAAAATTGAGATTTTGTAGAATTTCATCCTGTCAAAATGAGCATCCTGTCACTGCTTAAACCCCTCGACGAGACAATCCTCTCAATCATAGGGGACACAGTCATCCTTACCCTTCAGCAGAAAGATTCAAAGCACATGGACCTCAGTTTTTTTACAGGTCAAACGTTGACCTCAGGATTTTCATGCCTTTTAATTTTCCCTGCTCCATTTATCTCAGGGATTTCCCAGCCATGTTTGATGACATGGGAGGCTATTCTCTATGACTCGGTTCTTGCTAACCCTCTGGAGATCTTCCCCCAGAAAAAAATCCCCATAAAATGCCTGGTTTACCTCCCATTCTGTCTTGCTTTTGATTCTGATCCATGCCCAAACAAGAAAGTTAGTCTCGATTTCAACATCCCATCAAGTCTTCTTTCTTCATGGTCAACACATTTTCTTATACCCCCTATATGTTTGGAGTTGCAAGTTGTAATGTCGTAGACCCAATAATAAACGATCCCAAGTCATCACCATCAATGGGTGCTATAAAAGATACAAAAAGAACTCCCCCAGTCATGTTAGGTTTATGGAGTTTATGGCATCGGATTGCCCACACTGTCCCATTCAGATCTCAGGATAAGCGCCTTATAGCCATCACGACGCTTCATGGGACCGGGCTCGGCACAGATCTTCGAGGTGTTTATCGGGCCCAAAGTGCTACGGCACGGGCAAAAGGCAGGGCTTTTACGGCCGTTAAAAGCCACTGTCAGGGTAGACTTGGGAAAAAATGCCGGCATTTTGTTCGTCGATGTTTTGATGCACAGAAAATGAGGTCTAATGAGTCTAACTAGCGGATCCCAACATTCAGAACTCCGCAGAGTTCCTCTGAGAAAATGGTATAGAAGGGAGGAATATTCGACCTTTGTTGGTGTGCTCTGAGAAAATGGTATAGAAGGGAGGAATATTCGACCTTTGTTGGTGTGCTGAACCTTTCACCAATCTAATTATCGGCATGTCCAGCAATTCGAAGCACCCAGGCCTCCAGTCACCAGCCCAAAGCAGCCCCATGGCCATGTCCGGCATTGACCCGCCCAAGGCTTGGCACTCAATGCTGCGGCATCGCCAGCAACGATGCGTTCAACCCACAGAAACGGGGAAAACGGTAGTCCCGTGATATGAATGTAGTCCTCCTGTCCTACATGACTGGCTGAAAGGACATGAAAGGACTGTGATCACTGTCTTCCAATGGTCCCCGGCTCCTCTCAAACTCAAATATCTGGCAGCCCCAAGTTGAAATAAGCCTGAACGGTTGGATACCGACTTTCCAGGGTGGGACTGACCTACACATTGATCCCCTCAAAAGGGGCCAAAAATGACATAAAAACCGACACCCAGCAATGAGCAAGTGTGGAGGCAATCATTTTGAAGCCCAGGAAAGGAATAACGCTTGCAATTCAACATCAAAGCTCCGCAGCTCACTTTTCTGCGACATGCAATGCAAAGGTCTGCTTCGTTTTACCAGTGACCAGTACCCAGGAAGCGTTAGCAGAAACCAAGGCGAACGAATCTAGTTGTGAGGTCAACTAATCCAGCAATAAATGAGACACTGTGTAGCAAATCAGAACTGAGTACAATCAAAGATACCTCATGGATCATGTGTATCGCCCTTATGGGTAGGGGACTTCATCACCATTGTGACCAACTGCGCTTGCGCTTCCTGACACAAGTGGGCTGGTCGGCTCAGAGGCGTCAGCCCTGAGATGGGAAGATACACCAGCCCTTCACAGGCATTCAAGATCAGTGGGGCCCCTTGTTTCAAAGAACCATCAAAATGCTGAATTGGTGTCTAAGATCCTAAGACTCTCATATCTCATATCTGCGTGTTCAACTAGTGATCGTGTTTAAGAGATCCTTAGCATAAGCGCTGTGTCGGGGAATCACCTTTGGTGGTTGAACCATCGCCCCAGGACACCATGGAAATATGAAATGTCTTTCTTTCACTTTCCTCTTGGAAGTGCAGGAGCTTTCTCACTTCCATACAGTATATGTATGTGTATATATATATATATATGTGTAAATATAAATGTATATACTATGTATATATGTATATATGTATCTGTATATGTATGTATATATATACATATATGTATAGATATATATGTATATAAATATATACATATACATATGTATAGATATATGTGTATATATATATATATGTGTATATATATATATGAGTGTATATATATGTATATATACATAATTGTATTATCTGTCTTTTGCTTCATAGTTGGGCCCTATTTTACTGATTAAAAAATCAGAACCATTTTTTTGGTGATTAGGCTAACATTATGATGCTTGGATCGGACTAATTAAGGCCCTCTTGGATACCCTGGACCCTGAAACTGTTCTCTAGCTGGTCAAGTTGATATACATATATCTATATTTATATATATATATAATACTAACTATATATATATATATATGTATCCTGACACCGTTGGGGAGGGGTAGAAGGGCCGGGAACCAAGCAATTTATCTGTATCAAAATAGCAAAAAAATGTATAGTTAGTTAGTACTAAAGTAGCCATGCAAGGTTTCTCCAGCGAACGCCTTTTTGGTTCTGGACCGATAAGATGCCAGCCCGATGACCAGTCGTGGCCGTCATGGGGCCCCACTGGATTTTTCCCATTCGCACATTTTTCGCCAAGTGTGTGGAATTGTCTCAAAATGGTGGAGATCAGAATCTAGTAATAGCTTTAATGGCAAATGATTTTCTAAGCCAACGGATGGAATGGGCTTTCCAAGTTTTGAGACAACCCCTTACCTCAGCTGTCTCACTTTTCAGGGCTGCCATTGTGCCAGCAGGCGGCGGCCGCCAGAGCACTGGGCATCAGCGCGGAACGGGGCGGCCAAGGGTCAAGTCAGTACCCTGGAAGAAATGGATGGTGTCAAATTCACAGGGGTTTTCTAAAATGGGGTTATCCCCAAATTTTCCAAGTCATGGACCAGGACTTAGTGCTAAGCGTGACGACTGGGGATCCCCGATGACTTAAGAAACTGGCTTTAAGGATCCACCGTCCATGGTCACCTATTAGGTACCTAGCGGACCTAGCGTAGAGGTGCTAAGCCATATTTTGGCGGTATATCTTTAGCCCTTACATAGACCTTGTAGATGGTGTAAAATTGAGCTGAAATGGCCACTGAAATTGGATGATCTCTCGCTTCAGCCATCGAATTTTGCGATCACCGAAGTTGGACAAGATAATGTAACCAAAAGGCACCAGCCATGTCGCTGGGATGTGGAAATGGGGATGACCCGCATTCAAAGCAACTTTAATGAAAGTTACGGTCAACTGTGGGATTCATACCCAATTTGCAGAGCCATCTACTGATTCATGGTGGGTTTTGCGATGCTGAAGACCAAGCCGCGAACGGCGCAAACGGTAAAGGGGAAAAGCCTTTGATTAAAAAGTTCTTCTCAAAAACTCGAGGCATCGAAGTGCTGAACTCAAAAAGTCAACTAATCACTCTGGCAAGCAGAACGCACACTAAAGGGCTTGCCACCAGAACATCTGGGAAGTCATGTTTTGCCAAGTCTCACAGTCATCCTGTTCCACAAGCTGGTGACTGAGTCTCTCAGGGAAATATGCTGCTCAGTTGTATATCCCGAACACCCAACACCCATGAAAACTAGAAGCATGAAAACTTGGGTTGCTGTGAAGAAATGATTTGCCACAAGTCCTCTACATCTTTTTGATGTCGGGCACCGTGTAGTGAAATGTACTGACATTGGCATTTCACGCGGAAGAGGCACTAAGTCTAGAATCCTAGACCACGAAGTCAATGATCATGTCATGTTTCATGTTGTGTTCCTGAGTCGGGGGAACCATGCTGTGCAGTCTGGGCACCCCTGCAAAGTATGTATTTTCTATCTGGGTATTTTTCTACGCGCCAGCAGGTGCGTTAATAATAGTTAATATCCCCCTTTCTGCGTGTTTCATATTCCCATAATCGAAAAAAAAAGACAGCTATAGGCTATAGGTTTGTTTTTGACCCAAAAAAGTTCGAAAAGTACATTCTTGCCAAAAACATCCAGGATATAAACATAGGATAATCCCAAAAACATAGGATAATGCCAAAAAGGTTTATAAAGTACGTCTATCTTGGGGGTTGTATCCTATGGCATCCCTCACCTCCAACGCACCCCTAAATTCCGCAGCCTCAAAGCTGTGGTTGAAGCCACCTTCCCACCTGGTGAAACCATGGTGTCATGGTGTCATTTCCTGCCCCAGCAGTAAAAAGCACGGGCTATCACCAGGAAACTGCGTGAAACTTCATGAATCCGGAAGCTGGTTGAGGCTATGAACAGCATGAAATATCATTAAATCATAAATTTATGGGGGAATCCCTGTGGTCCCTTATGAATCATTGAAGTCAATGGGTAGAGATATCCATACTGCCCCCTTGCCGGGAAAGGTGGTCGCTACACTCTGACCATGCTCACCACCTCAAGAGTGATCCGCTAAAGAATGGAAGCATGAAATGAAACAACCCTGGACCTAAATAAATAACCATAAATGGGGGGGGTCCTAAGTCATAGGGGTACCCCAATAGCTGGATGGTTTATTTCAGGGAAAATCCAGCTAAAATGGATGATTTGGGGTACCCCTATGACTTAGGAAGCCCCCATAAATATCAATAATATCATAATATCAATAAATAAGAATAAATATAGATTAACAATAATGATTCACCAGCCTGAACTCTGGCCCTTTGGAAATTTTGGGGATAGTTACCGTAGTCCTTACAGAATGGCTATCCTTTGGGATGATGTTGATCGATCTTCAGATTGGCCAAAATGTGACTAGAAATTGACGTAGGTGTTTCGGAAAATCCATGATACCATGTACACAATTTGTGACTTTCAAAAGTGGTTCCTTTCAAGTCAAGTACACTCTAAATGTAAAACAGCTATCAGGCTGTGAATAATTCAACGCAGCAGTTCAACGTCCCTTTATGTTCCCCCAGTCGATGGCTACACCTAACTTTAGGACAGGATTGGGCACAGGTTACCTGTTGGCAATTTCTTTGGGGGGACAAAAACAGGCACGTTTTGAACACTGTAAAGCTACCTCACTTCACATTCGTAACGGATGATTCAGGGGCATCCACAGTTCATCAAGGTTTCTTGAAGGAGCATCCAACTGGGCACCGCCCCCATTCAGTCGAGGCACCGGTCGTTCCCCTTAGTTCAAAATGCTGAGTTTCTCCAAGCTGAGAAGTGGATGACCCCTTGAGACTGGGATCATTGGATCACAGTAAGGACCTGAATATTCAACCACTCAATATATTCCTAGTGTCTCCTAGTCCTAATCTGGGGTCAACTGGGTACCCGAAGTGGGGTTACAATATCAAGAAAATTCCACCTCTCCCGGAGCAAATAGGCCCATGTCAGGAAGCTCCGGAAACCAGTCACCCTTTCTTCCTGTACTTTATGGAACATGCTCAGTGACATGCAGTGACGTGCAGTGACATGCGCAGCCTCACAAGGTTCCTCAGGGGTGGTGCACACCGCCTGAAGATGAGTTGGGTTATTTTGTCTGTTCCATCCAGCGGTTTATGATTTCACCCTATCGAAATTGCCGTAGTTTGGAGGTGAATCATTCAT